TTCTGAAACAATAGTAAAAGGATAGTAAAGATATAAAAGAAGTATAACTCCCTTCCAGCATGTCCATACAAGGAATGGAAAAGGACTTAACAATAGAAGAGAGCAAGATGGAAAGTGTATACGTGAGTGGTATTTGGCTTAGCACACAGAAGGCTGAATCTCAGGTCCTACAGAAAAAAGGTACAGTGAGAAGCAAACATATCCACTCTAAATCTAAATAGAGAGAGAGAGAGAGAGAGAGAGAGAGAGAGAGAGAGAGAGAGAAACTAATTAGAGGATTACTCTACAAGGTCCAACATATGACCAAGAGGAATTCCAGAAAATGTACAAGAAGTAGAAACCACTCCAGGTATTTTAAGCAGAAAAAGATTTAATACAAGTAATGATGTGCTTACAGAATCAATGGAAAGGATAGAGAACAGTTTCTCAGCTGGATATATTGAAATAATGTACCCAAAATATAAAACTGACCAGTTAGGCAAGCTCCCATCTCTGAGGCCACCATAGGAGCTATAATGATCTAGGTCTGGAGCCATGGCCACAGCCAGACCAGCCTTTGAACATCAAGAAGCTGAAAAATGAATGCCTACATATGTATTCCCGTGATTAAGAAGTTAGGTGAAAAAGTCACCAATACTGAGCCATTTTCTTCACACTCAGGAAGCCAGAAACTGGATCCTTCTTCTGCAAAATTGTAATCTTGATAGCCAGTGTTAATAGTCAGTTGCCAAAGGAAAACAGAATCCACTTCACTTCTGCCACTCAAATCTTGGGCAAATTAATCTAATTGTGGGAGCCTAAGAATCAGCCAGAACTTTAGTGCAAGGGAAATTGGGAAATGTAGTTTCCAGCTGGGTAGGCATGTGTTTATCAAAAACTCTATTACCAAGAAAAAATAGATTTGAGGGGGCAAGTAACTCTGGTGGGATATAAGAGGTGTGTTTTCCTGAGATATTGAACCAAAGTGGCTGTAAAGTCAGGCAGGCGAATAAAGGGAGATTGAGTAAAAGTCTGCATACTGAACAGTGAGATTCCCAGCCCACTTCCTCCATTGAACTTCCAGAATGCCAGAAGCCAGCTGTAATCCCACAGGCATGATTGGAACATTGGTACTTGGGCAAATTGGTCCAAGGGAAAGACACTAAATATATGAAGCCATAATGAAATAGTCAGGGGAAACCCACTATTCCATAAGATTTTGCCATGTATAAAGCTTGCAATCAGATTTTCATGCCTCCCACTTAAATAGAAAGAGATTTCTAAGGATGTTAGTAATTTGTTGAATGCCTTTAACATGAAAGAGAAAAACCAAAAATAAACAAGCAATGGTGAAAGTCTGGGGAAAAGGGCCCTCAAACAAGAGCCGAGTGAATCAGAGACCAGCTTCATCTCTGCAGTGGTGAGGGCGCAGCTCCGTGAACTTCCAGGGTATCACGCTTCCCTCACATGCTTGAGGGCCACCCATTGATCCAAAGCAGCAGTGAATTTTCATGTTGAAAATCAATTTGTAGAAAAAACTCTGTTGAAAGCAGGAAGGGTGACAGGCAGGTAAGCTAGGATTTGTGTGGCTTCATAATACTTACTGAACATGTTGCCAAAACCCCCAAATTGTGTATCAACCAGCTGGGGATTAATTTAGATTTATGTAGAATCTAAGCTTCCATATCAGTCCTGAGTTGCTGAAGAAATGGATTGTTAGGCATAGCTTTAGAGCCAGCTTAATAAAGCATTTCAGAGGGGATCGGAGGTTCTGGGGTGATCAGTGTCTAGAATTCCTAATCCCTGTATACACATTTGATCATTTATTCAGCACCATGACTCATGTCATCCCCAGGCAGGCTGTGTAGAACATCTCCCGTGACCTCCTGCACAGACCCACTGCTAACTCACTCAGGTTGTCCTGCTGGAAATCATCTGAATATTACACTTCAGTGTTCATATATACAAAAGCTGCTAAATCCTGGCTCTCACTGGAGCTTGGACCAATTTATCCTTATGTGCTCTCGTTTTTATTATTGAAATATAAAACTATTTATTGACATCAAAATGTTTACTTGGAAAAGAATAAAACCCCATAAAAACTATTGTCTCTGTGACTCTTTGGCATGGTATATACGAGATGTATTTAAAATGTCAAGAGATCAATTCACTGTGAAGAGATCCCCCCCAGCAAAGTGCAGTGAATTAGTTAGAAGCCTAGCACCCAAATCAGCTAGTGTCCTCCTTCTAGTCATTTATAAGTACTTTCATAGATGTAACCCCAATTTATCTTGCACTGTCAGAAAATCTCAGTTATAGCAAAATATAAAGACCTTGGTGAAGCAAACAAACTGAAAGAGAGAAATTAGAGGGCATAAAATATAGGGAGAGAGGAATGTAGCCTTCTCTTATTTGTTGATTGTGGGTCTTTAAGGAAACTTGTTGAAAATATTGAGCCTATGGTCTGTTTTATAGTTGGTGGAAGTGAACTTTATTGCTCTGGTTCCTGACTTTTGTAAGACCCACAGCCATCACCGCTCCCTTTTTCTTACAGAATTCCCTCCTTTGGATTGTATCACGTGTGGTCAATATAATGCCTTAAATTGCTAATTTGTTTCTGTCAGTGTTTCTTGTCTTTTAAATTTTATGTGAACTCATTCTGTACATCCACACTTACTCTCCTCCTTTCAGAGTACTATTTTAGCATGTCACAGGCACTCAACAAATGTTTGTTGATTGATTGACATCACTGAGTGACACCCACATGTTGCACATCAATGACTTTTCTAATTGAGCTAAGCACCTAAGCAAAATCATTGTAGAATTCATTGCTAAATTAAACTATTGTTTAATAAATCTGAATATACATCTGAAGTGATTATATAGTGTATGTAAAGAAAATCAACACCTGTGAAAACAAAAGGAAAGCACACAGTACTGATGACTTCCAGTTTGATTGTCATTAATGCCCCACCTATGCCAGTTTAGTTGTTTTGTGGTAGAAATCTGTCTTAGTATTTACTGTAGGGCTAAGCTTGACTAGGAATTAACAGATCTCAATTCCAGTTCCAGTGCCACCACTGTCTTGCTACAATACTTCCATGAGAAAATCACTTCAATTAATTCTGGACTCACTTTGGCCCTCCATAAATTGTCAGAGAAGAGCATGTTTGGCTTTTACATAGGGTTATGTTATATGGATAAAATGAGATAAGTCATTTTAAAGAATTTTGAAATGTTACAATGAGCCTCACTTCTTTATATCCCAAGTTAATATTGGGTTGTCGGAAAAGCCATGATGCATTTCTGCAACGCAAAACTTAGAAAAAATACGTCATGACTTTTCTGACAACCCAATATAATCATTGTGTAATGTTTTTTAAGGAACAGTGAATTAGAACTATTTTTTAATCCTTTACAAAGCAAAATACTACAACTCTAGTTCATAAAAGGAAATATCAATTGCTCATATTGCAATAATTCTTAGTACCACCAACTGTTATCTTCTTATCCATTAGCAATGTTTGAGACGGATGATTATTTTTTCTTCTTTTCCATAGTGTATAGATGATTATCACTGCTTGTACATTTTCACACATCCTTGGTTCTCCCTCCACTCATTGCCTTTTTTGACTTTGCTACCTCTGTCACCATGGTTCCTTGCCCCAACCCATCTCTTACATTTCACAACTAGTTAACATTAACCTATCTTAGGAGGATGAATTGCTTTTGGGGAAAGGGTGATGGGTTTGGCTCCACTGTACCTTTCAAATAAAGTCTAACCTTCTAGTTTAAGATTTCAAAACTTTGTCTTCAGCCTTAACTCTCACTCTTATCTTATTCCGTGATGTTATCAAATGGCTGGAAACGTGTTGATCCTGTCATAATTTGTTTTAAACCTTTGATTATGTTGTACTCCACATTCACTTGTTTGAAGTCTTCCCATCTTTAAGTACCATCTCTTCTATGAAGACTTTGTGGTCCTCCCACTGCAAACATTTTTCCTCTTCCAGACCTTAGCACGTTTTGTACAACTATCTACTTTTCTTATGCTATCTAGCCTGTTCTGTTTTATACTCTTTTATATTACTATGTTTTTTTTGTTTATTCAGTTATTATTTTCCACTTCTTTTATTCCGTTTCTATCTCTGTTGACAAAACTTTGAACTTCTTTGACTGTGTTCTACTGATCATTATATTTATAAGAGCGTCTAGGAGATTTTTCTCAGGTAATAGGAAGCAGCCCATAAGAGTGGTTGAGTTAAATTGAATTGCTGGGCCACGTTTCTAGGTATAAGTATCAAAATGAACCTTTCATGGAACTGGACAAGATTAAATCTCCCATGTTAGTGTACTAGGAAAGAGCCTTTAAGTGTGACTGGAAGGGGAAAATTAAGCTGTAATTCTAGTGTGTTTAGAAAATGTGGATTGCCAGAAATCAATAACAGATATCAGAGACAATTGGAGTCATGAATGTTGTTCTACAAAACTAAATACTTGATTTACATGTCTGAGACATAGGACACATATTTAAAACTTATCAAAAGTCTACAAGACATAAAAGGAGTGTTCTAGAATCTGGGCAGGTTTTAAAAACATAAATGGTAAAACTTTCATGCTTGAATAAAAACTTGTATTATGCAGTTTCCTTAGCCTTTTGTTTAGGGGGAAAAATCAAATTTCAATAAATATTTTCAAGTAATGCTCTTTAGAAATAAATCAAGCTTGAACAAATATTTTCAAGTCGTACCAGGAACAGCTTTGTATTATTATTATTAGTAGTAATAGTAGTATTAGTATTAGTATTATTATGGTTATTATTATTATTACATGACGGATTTTTCCTGAGAAACCACATTTCCTAGTATTTGCAATCCTATGAAGGCCACATCTCTACAAAGAAATAGGGGCGTTAGCATGAACACAGTCACTGATTGGCTTCCTGAGTCGTTAGCATTTTTGCCCATTGGTTCACATTTCCCCTGCCTATTTGATTCACATTATCTATATTTTCCTCTTAGATTATTAAAACGGGAAGAAAGTTTCACATTCATCCCTCGGTCCCGTGAAGAGCTTCCAGACAACTTTCCAAAGGAAATCCCTGGGATCTGCTATTTCCTGGAGGTAAGGACTGGTCCTAAGCAGCCAAAGCCTTCTCTTTCTTCATCGAGAATCAAAAAGGTTTCCTACAACATCGGCACCATGTTCCTCCGGGAGACGAGCCTCTGAGACCCGCTACAGATCAAAGACTCCTCCAAAAGCACAAGCCCAGAGCGTGGGTCGTGACAGGAGACTGGAAAGAGATCCTCTTTCACTGCTTTGTTGAGAACAAGCAGCGGAATTTCTGTTTTGTCAGGCAATAATCTTAGAAAACGGTGGGTGATGACTGTCAATAAAAAAAACAGAGGGTGGGGGTGGGGGGGTGGGGGGAATAAGGCGTGTCTATCCATATGAGTGTTTTTGGTCATATATATTTTTTAATTACAAGTATGAGCCACCTTTCAAAGCTAACTATAAATAGATACCATGTTTTCTTGTTTGTCACACATACATGTATGTTTCCCTATATATTTATATCACCTTTGAGATCCAGTTTTGATTATATACTCCTGCATTTAGTGAGTTGGTATGTGAAGAATATTTTCTAATTTTGTTTTTCTGAACAGACATTTCATACATATATCATGGCAGTGTGGTAAACTTCCTGGCAGGAAGAACTGCAATTCAGCAAAATATTTTAGGGATATTACCTATTTTTATACATATCTCTTCTTTTAGATAATTACATTTCACACATTATTAGATTTTCAGAATCTGCTACTGTATAGTTGGTATATTATGTAACTCTAACCTATTAATTCAATATAGTTTTAGTTATCTAAAGACATTAGTGCGTGGACTAAGAACACATATAACCAAGGATTTCAGATGCTGAGAAAGCATTGTTCGTCTGCTTAGTAAATATATCTTTTAGATTTAATTAAAGTAGCATGGAATCCAGAGGAAATGGAATTTCCTAATAGTAGTTACATCTGTCACCAAGAAAGGTCTTTTTGCCATCTTATATCAAATATCAGTTAAAATAAAATGCTCTCTACATTGGACCCCTTTCAACTGAACACTTACAAATACAAGTCGTTTTTGCACCATACTAAACTGTGTTCTAATAGAAGGCATCCTAGTAAATGACATGTTGTACTCTCCTTCCCGCTCCCTCTCCCTGATGGATACCTCCCTAAGGCCTCTCTTGGGAGCAAATTCCTGGATACTGGCATTAGTGAGAAAGAGGTGCCAGACATTTTGCCAAGAATGTTTCTTCTTGCATAATAAAAAGCAAAGAGAAACACCTATTTTTATGGCTTTGAGATTTAAAAAAAATGTTCTTGTGCAGGTTGATTAATGTGGCTTTTAAATTCAGTGAATCACCTTCAGAACACCGAAGCAGGTCTAACCTTCAGACTAGTAATCACCATAGTGACAGATAGGCTTCCATTGCATGTTCCACTAAAATGAAGACCAGCTCCCAATAATTAACACTGCATGAAAATATTATTACAAATACACCCTGAAGTTAGGAACACAGTGTGTCCAGAGTTTTTCTAGTTTGGATCAGATATAAAACCTAAGTTTCAATTGAAGTTAATGAGCTGGAAGCATTTGTCTCCTTGAAACCTTGGGGTGGCCATTTTCTTACTCCAGTAGGTATACACATGGATAGTTTGTGTCAACTGAATGCAACATGTTTTTTCTGGTCAGGGATTTGGGCTGCATTAGATTGGTTATGACATAACTCAGCTAAGGAGCATATTAATTAGTGTCCACTGTTGTCTGTGAGGCTTAATTAGTGTTTTTAAGTTCTCTAAGTGTGTAGCTAGAAAACACACTTAGATATGCAAAGTATTTGTTATAATGGTGATGACTTTTATCGGTGAACTCTTTTCTCACCCTGGGACTGGTTTATGAGGACACTAGTGCAGCACTGTCCCTGCATTCTCTGAATCCTTGCCTATTCCTCTCTTTCCTGAGTCTAGGTCTCTGTTTTTAACCACATGGGGTGAGAAGGCCAGAGTGTTGACAGGAAGCTGTGTAGCCTGGAGACAGAGTGCTCTCATGGGCATAATCGCTCACAAAACTTTTCAGGGGACCGGGAGGTTAGCGCACTTCCTTCACAGAGAACAGGGGCCCAGGTGTGCAGTCATGTGGACAGAAGGCTGGGAACATCTCAGTCCTTGTGCCTCGAATAGGAAACACCTTAGCTATGCTGAAGGGCTCCTTCTAGCACAGGAGCACCGGGAGAGAAGCAGGCTCACTACAGTCACCTATGCTTATTCTGCATAGTCACTTAGAGCTTATTATGATATGGTAAATCAATAAATGTTTTGGTGGTACACAATGTGTTCTGTAACCATACGGCTGAAAGGGCCTTCCAGGAATCACCCAGTCTATTTCTCTGCTTCCTGTAAAGATTTGTCTAAGCAACTATTTTAAACATATGGCTGTTCTCGCTATACTTAAGATCATCTATGCGGAGCATATTTTAAAAAGCATTATTGAAAACTATCTCCTTTCTTATTCAGTAATTGTAACAGGGCCCAAGACAAGAACTGTATATACATTCAATGTGTCAGAAGAATAACAAACTCTTTCTCGGTTTTATGATTTTACTTAGTGAAAAAGTAGCCGTTTATGTTGTCACAAATGTCACAATGAAGAATATGCCAGAGACTCATATATCACAGACAGGATGTAAACTACTGTTTTCATATAATCTAAATATATCTTTGAAACTATAGTCTGAAGCAATGGTCTAATCTGTTACCATTTTGCCAACCTAGTCCAGCTTATTATAGTTACACTATTGCTATATGTGTTGGCAAGGTACTGCTTTACATGGCTGTTCATTCTAGCTGCAATTATAGAATTTAGAAGCTGTGAAAAAGCATTATATTTTTATCCTATATAACACACCACATGTCATCCATTAGGAATTCTGACTATAACAATGAGTGGTAGTAGGTACTTCATCTGACTAGTATCTATACAGTTATCTCACCTCCAAACTATTATACACATTATACATTTTAGTGTGGCAGATTAAAAGGTTAAATGGATGTCTCATTAGAAATGAAGCAGCATTAAATTGGAGAAATGGCTTTAACCCATTCTAAAAAGGGTACTTTAAATATAATTTGGTGCCTACAGCTCCTCTGTTTTAGTGTTCTTTCAAGCAGTGAATTTGAAGAAGTCACTTTCTGACTTGCCATCAGTACCAAAGCTTTTCACTGGCATCAGTATCATTTTGATGGAGAGATGGTCATTGTTTGCAGATAAATCAGTTGTCTCACAAAGTCAGAAACCCCCATGTGTACCCAAAACATACTGTGCAGTATGTGTTTTGTGAACCTTAATAAATAGGTAACATTAGCCATTATAAAAAGAATAATACTCAGTGCCTAGAGAACACATATAGGGACTGGTCTCTTGGCTGTGTGGTGTGTGTGGAAAAGGACCCAACTATTTAAAATCTGCCTTAATATTCATTTCATATCTTACATTTTAAACTATTTGGGGCTTCCTTTTTTTTTAGTACCATATTGAATACTTTATTTATTTTTATTATTATTAGTTTCAGGTGTACAGAACAATGCAATAGTTATCCTTTTCACCCCTCACAATGTAACAATCCCTCTCCTTCCCCCATCCACTGCCCTCCCACCCCTGATATCATACTTATCTATTACAATTCCATTGACTCCATTCCCATACTCTACTGACCACCGCACTGTACACCTGAAGCTGATGTTAAATAATATTGTATGTCAGCTATAATTATATATACATACAGTCACGGGATATGGAGTAGAGTGTGGGGCTTCCTTTTTAATATGTGATTATATGTAGTGTCCAGTGAGCTTGAGAGTGGGTTCATGGACTCAGCACTTCCAATGTGAACTCTCATAGTTTCACACTTGTTCCTCTTATCCACTGACAATGGTCTCAAGAACATAGTGTTTTACCGAGAAAAGGCAAAAGCAGGCGCCTCTCCAAGAAAAACAGAGCAAGCAAGGACAGCAACTTAAACAAAAAGCACTCATGTTCACAGGTGCAGTAAGCCTTTTGATTTTGTAAATTCCTCCAAAGGGTTATAGCAATAAAGCAAAATTAAACTGATACATGTGAAAGGCAAGGCCACGGAGAATTTGGAAAACCAAGAGGCTGAATACAGTCACACTGCTACCAATTGAAATAGTGTATTTGAGGCTGTGAGGTATCGAGAGGGAGCTCAAGATTATGACCATCATTAAATATATGTCAGAGAGGTTCCTTGGGTTCCTGACTTGCTGAGGGCAGGTGTTGTGGGTCATCAGAGCAGAGCATGAAGTCTCTGCACATGGATTTCTATCTTGTCACGCATTTTGAACACTAATAGCCCATACCCAGACCCTCTCTTATTCCATGGCGTCCCTGGAAACCATCCCACACCCTCAATTCTGGCCCCATCAAACACCATCCTCTCTGTACCTCTGAATGTAACATGGCCACAGAAGGAGTTTCTAACACCTGTTTCATACTGATAGGAAGATTTGCACAACTTCAGGCCCAACTAATGCACTTCTGAAGTGAACTTACCATTCCCAGTGGTTCTGGGACATGGCTTACATCTACAGCTTCTCTCTGCTTTTTCTTCAAAATACGATCTGACTCCCAGCACTTGGTATAACTTCACTGAATGCTCCTTTAGAATGAATTATAGATGACTCTAAATAGGCTTTGGGTGGCACCAGATGCCTTTCAGCCAATAATACCTATAAACTCAAGTCCAAGAACCAAGCCCCATATTGTAACCTGGGTATTTCTGTTATGAGATTATAGATCTTCAACTATAAAATAAATCATTTCAGAGGCTCTGTAAACAAATCTTAATAGGTAGAGCCTGAAAAGCATGATGCATGGGAGACTTAATTATTAAAGTTTAACACATTCCATTCTGAATGATGATTCTTTGTGGGTAGTTCTGATATGGATATACTTAATTCACAACCAGTGGATTTAACATACATGTAAATTATGTCTAAATGATTGAACAAATTTTACTTTAAATGGGTAAATTGACTCCATCTGTGAACTCAGTTTCAGGATCCTCCTAGTGGTGACTGAAGAGCAGACACTGATATTAAAATCTGATATTATATACAGACTAAAATAGCCTTGTCAGAATATTTTGAGATAGTGTGCAAAATTCCTTCCTCACACTTGATTTAAACAATTGAAACCTAAATATTATTGTCCCGCCACTTTTCTGTTTCCTTCTTTCCTTTGTTTGTTCTTTCCTTCTTTCTCCCTTTCTTTTTTAAAAAAAGGCATTGATATATTTATAACACAGAACGAATCACAGCCAATCTCATCTAGTAAACTAGTTTTAGTTTTATAAAGTAATGAATACTCTGTTTCTGTGTGTGTTTGTTGAATGTAGCTATTTTAAGATTAAATGGAGTGACATTTTAGAATGGTATGTAAAGAAGTAGAGGTTGTGTTCTTGAATTCTAATATATTGTGATGAGACCACACAGCTTCAGTCGAGTGTCTCATTGCCACCCCATTCTCATTAAGAATTAATGTTGTTCAAGGGTTGAACTCATCAGGTTGGCGGTATCTGGCTGGCTTCATAAGAATTACCCAAGAAGCTTTTGGGAATACAAATTACTGAGATTTGGAGATTTGGATTCAGTAGGTCTCAGGTGGGGCCTAGGAATCTGTATATATAAAATCATTTTAGGTAATGCTAATATATAGCCAGATTTGGGAATCATTGAAGAGTATTAAAATAATCCCAATTACTAGGAATAAGTATAAGTTGACTGAAATAGAAATATATGATTTCATTTGTAGTTATTTTGACAGCTAAATGCTCTGGGCTTCATAGCATTATTTCTTTCACAAATTTTAATTTTAGCTTTGGTTTCAAATTTATGATCTGCTTCCTAAGTATGAGTCTTCAAACTTACTAGAGACAGAAATAAACACTGATAAGCATGAGGGATGAATATTGCTTACTATAGGGCTATTAGGCATATGGTATCGCTTTCTTAGTTACTGCCAGAGCTGTGAAGTACATCACAATGTTTGCTGATCCTCACTGCTGATATATAAAAACTTTTGGACAGAGAAATAAATGTCAAAGTGACAGCCTTATTTCTGAATGCTTTGATGTTTATGTTATGAAAAATCACCAACTTGATACTCTCACTCTGTTCTTTTCACAATGAACTGTACATTCATCTAAAAACGATTCCCTAGCAATACCTTATAACAACCTTTCAAGCAATAATGGAAGCCATGGTGGTGATGCCATATGACACCTGCACTTCTGTGCACTTCATAGAACTTTTCGGGAAATAGAGATATGTTTAATATAAGCAATAATAAAGCTGGTGTGGATTTTAAAAAAATATTCACCATTCTACCACAGCAAAATTAGCAGCAAATGATGGCTCATAAAAATTATCTGAGCAAATGACAACATCCTTAGTTTACCTCAGAAGGCATTCATTTGCACACATGCTATAAAGTAATGCACTCCTATCAGGTTACTTCTGTTGTATAATTTTAAAAATACCTATCGTCATATAATTTCTGTTGCTCTCAAGAGGTGTGTGTGTGTGTGTGTGTGTGTGTGTGTGTGTGTGTGTGTGTGTGGTGTATAATGTTGCTTGGATTTTCAGATCTTTGTAGTATATAATAGTAAGGAACAGTTAAGGATGGATATATGAGTAAAGTAGAACACAGGTTGGATGAGTTGATTGAGGATGTAGGCTTTGCAAAAATATAGATGGATCTTGGGACAAGTTGATTAATTTAACTGTTGGTTTAATAAAGTCTTAGAAGATGAAAGATTAAAGATAAAAAGAGCTTATTATCACTGTTTTCTATGATGGCAAATGTTTAGTAAGTATAATAGTAGTAAGGCTTCAGAATATGGTTGAACGTCATCTGTAGTATAATTACTAAATATCTGAAAATGATTATGTAATCATATTGAAAATAACCTGCTCTTCTCAGCTATTTTGATGATAGTACTAAAGGTTGCAGATTTCAAAATGAATAATCTGCAGTTTTAGTTTTCTTAAAATATAATTTTAGTCAAATGTGGCACAATCAGTAACATTCAGTCCTTTAATAGTTAAATTACCCTTCCGTCATTTAGAATAATGTATTAGGATCACAGCTAAAAGCAACTGGTAAACTTATGTTACACTGATGATCTTCTAAGCATTGAGTTATTACTCAGCAGTCATATAAGTTTAGGATCCATTCTTAAGCCTCTAAATAAGATTATAGCGCCTATCATTGCCCAGCCGGGTGAACTCTCTTCTAATCGTGAATCTGAACACGATTAGAATGGTGGGTGGGTTTGCTAGTATTTTAAGTTCCTATTACTCACAGCAAAACTTAAGTTAGCATCCTGCCCACAATTTAGAAAATTCCCCTATGAAAATCAAACAGGATTATTGATTCACTGAGAAAGTTATGACAGTTGTTATATTTTTGTGTATCATTGGGTGCTTCACCCTTAATGAGCATGCTTTTAATTGTTGTTAATAATGAAAAATAATGAATAATTTGAATCTATTACATTACAGTGAATTTATCCTCTCTGTTAATTCTAGTTGCTGATCAATCAGATCTTTCTTAATATTAGACCTCAGTGCTGTTACTTATTATTTGAAAGCAGAGGAGACAAGAAAAACTAAATGGCAAGCCTAAGTCATAGCTTGTTTCTGATTTTGGTAT